GGGGTAGGAACATGAAAAGTACAATCAGTATGAATTGCTTGGACACAATTAATTAGTTCTGGTGCACCAATAACCCAGCCAACCTTAAAAGAAAAAAAGATTTAAACGTTTAATCCCTTGAACAAGTCACCATAGCAATGATTCATTGAGCCTCCTCTGCAGTATCGGGCTTCCTTTGTAACACCAATGCCTACAGAGGAGCCTACTGAATTACAGAGTGGAAAAACATTTGTGACAAACAAAACTATGCATGGATTAATTGAGCCTGTTTTTGCTGTTGATGATAAAAACGACCTATTCCTAAGACAGTTCCATACTTCTACATTCATTGACCAGGTATTGAGACTGACAAATACTACACTAGAAACAGGTTTAATCATGTTCCTTGGCTTTCATATCTTTCACACTAAATAACAAATCTAAGGAACACTTAAAATTTAAGGATTTCAGGCATAAAAAGTATAAATGGTGTACCTTCCATCCAGTAACACCAAATGTTTTGCCCCCACTGCTGATTGTAAGGGTTCTCTCCCACATTCCAGGTAGTGTTGCTGTGTAATCAAAGTCACATATACAATCATTTTACATTGCCCTTTGTTTCTAGTCTAAATTCATACAATGCTTACCTATCCTTGTGTGCTTTACACCGTCAAAGACCAGCCATTCATAAACTTCATCACTTATGCAAAGCAAATTATGCTTTTTACACACATCTGCTATAATTGTCAGTTCATCTAGACTAAACACCTGTTGAGAACAAGCCAAGATAAAAGATTGTTTTTCATTTAATCAATGGAGTATGAAGTGTATCATGTGTAGTTACCTTGCCAAGTGGATTATGTGGAGTATTTATGACAATAGCTTTGGTTTTGTCRCTGATTTTGGCCTCAAGTGCATCTTTGTCAACAGTCCAGTCTTTTGAAGATGTTGCTCCTTTTTTCTATTTGAGTAAAGAAATGAGAGTCTTCTTCACAGTTCCCTGAGCCATATTTAAWGTTAGCTGTGTCTTTGCATCAAAGCAAGATGACCAGTGAGCTTGCAATGAAAAAAAAAAACTGTCTTCCACACAAACAGAGAGTTATTCACAGGTTTTTATCAATGCATGCTCACCAGTTGTCTCAGTCTTCAAAGCAAACGAGCAGTTACCTTTCAAGATGGTGCAGGAAATCATAAAGGAGACTAATATTCATAGGTAATTGCATATTCAAAACCTTTCTCACTTTAAAACAGTATTACTTACAGCAGTCAAAGGAAAGAAAACAGTCTTTCCTCCAGCAAGTTTGATTTGATCTTTGTAGCAGTCATAACATGGATCTAGTAATATAACCTTTTGAAAAACAATATCAGTATATCTACCTTGAATTCACAAAATAATTAACTATACACAAATTCTCTCCTTTGCTATTTTTGAACCATCAAACACATTCTTGGGTGGTTAAATACATCATTTATGAGTCCATTTAATAAATAATTAGTACCTTATTCAAAAATACGTATTACAAACTCAAGGTAGGCTAGACAGAAGCCTAATGAAGAGCTTACTTCAGTTAAAATAAATAAATAAATATTTACCTCATCTCCAGGATTAACAAAAGCCATGAAAGTAGAATACAATGCTTCATAAGCACCAACTGTCACAACTATCTAGAATTACAGATGAGATTTAAAAGAAAATGGTTTAGAAATTCTTGAGTTATTCTTGAGTTTTCTTGAGTTACGTTTATACTATAGCACAAAATGGACTAGAAACACCAGTGCAAAATCAGAAGCTGTCGCACACTTGACATTAAAAAATTAAAAAATGATGATAAAAATCATTATGTTACCCTGGTTTACAATGATAATTTTTTCAACACACCGAGTTCGTGCTACATTTTCACTACAAAATTCAAAAGCACAAGTATTTTTTACGATGTTTTTTGATGTTTGCGGACTTTTCAAGTGGCAATTTTCAAAAATAGCCACATTTCAATCCAAAAGCTAAGAAGCAACATGTCAATTTTATCAGATTCAAGGAGTTTTCCAGGAAATTTAGCGATTTTCCCCACTTTCAAGGTKCCCTTAAAAATGAGTTTTCAATTCCAGGACTTTTCAAGGACTTCAAGGAGTAGCACGAACCCTGAACACAGCAGAAGACAGTCACAAGAAAACAGATATTTTTTTCTATTTTTTTATTTCTTGAGCTCTTCCTGACCTTCATATATCACACAAAAAATTACATGTACCTTCTGCTTGTGACATTGTGTGAACTGGCCCTAACACTTATAGAACTCATTTGTTTTTAGTTAAAACACCTAAAAGTAACTTACTTCATTCATAGGATCTATCTTGCGACCATGGAGTTTGCTGAACATTGTTGCTAATGCATTGACAAGCCTTGGAAGTCCCTACAAATACACAACAACATTTAGCAAAAGTAAATTGATTTTAARAAWCTTAAAATAATTGAGGATAGATGTTGTTGTCTTGTTTCTCAACCTGCGAATGGTTAAATTATTAAGCCGTCACACATTAAGACATTAAACCATTGGTTTGACCTTTCTACACTTCTCTTACTAATGTGTGCTGTATGAACATAGCAGGAACAATCACTAAGGGATACAATTGATGCACATATACTACTGACCTCTTGGTTCCTGCTGTATTTATACTGTTAACTACATACTAATGGAAACTACATACTAAGGGGAATGATATTGAAGAATAAAATCCACCAAAAAATCTTGACGTTTACCTGTCCTCTTGTATACTGATGTGATGATGTCTCRCCATTCTTGGCAACCTCCATCAATGCTTCTCTTACAAAATCAGGGGGATAGTAATCTGGCATGCCCTGCATTTAAATCAGACAATCATAAATATAACTCTTCCTGTAATTCTTGCTGATATGATGACAAATTTAATGTCAAATTTTAAATCAAAAGGGAAAAAAATTGTAGTATTGCTCTCCATCTGGGACAAGTAAATTGTTGAAAATTGTGAATTTTTTGGCTTTTTTTGTTTGTATTACAATGAGTCAAAATGGACAATAGTCATTTGCATGATAGCCCGACTTTACTACAGCTACATACTAAGAAGCCTTGTTCATTTTCTTTGTTATTCAAGCTTTTAATCTCTTTTAGAGATTAATAAAATAATTGGGACTATTAAGAAAAGAAAGAGGACAAAGCATTCTGGTAGTCATAGTCAATGATGCAATTATGCAATGCTTAAATTCTTGCAGAGATTTTTTCCCCACTCAGCCATCTTAGATTTTTCAACATTGTCTCTTTAATAATTGTACAAAATAATAAAGGATATGTATCTAATATTTTTGTAATTTAAGAAGTAAMTGTACCTGTCCAAGATTAACTTTGGCATACTTTCTGGTGAGATCAACTATTTGGGTCCTACATGACAAAGAAAAATAAAATCACTTGGGGATGAATAACCAAAAAACARCTGTTGCTATCCAATATTGTAGGTATTGTAGTATACCTCATGTGTTACTAGTGCATATATATTTACAACAAAATTACCTAAATGGCAAAACTGTTCACAAATTTTTGAGAAACAAACTGTACTATTACATGTACATGTAGCTACATCACTGCAATAATAACCACTTACCAGAAGTTTAAGGGTAGATTTGCAATCCTGTTTGCKGGTCCAAGAGGGCTTGAATTCGAAGACATTTCTCTTTCCTAAATAAAGTGTACAATACGTTTTTTTGATGATAGTGCAAGTGTAATGCCAATGTAGTCCTCAAAATTATTAAAACTACATRTACAGTATATTTTTATTCTTAAAAAAGACATTACACCATATTACAGGATTAATATTTAAGTTACCCTTTACCAATATCAAAAACAACTAGAAAATAATTGAAACAATTATTATTTTTTGCCAATAAACAGCAAAGAATAGGACAGTATAGAATTATAGAATAGCATGGAATAAAATGTGTTCAAATGGTAGAGAATGGAATGGGAAATATACAGCAAAATAATATCATAAATTCAATTGAACTTGTCCAAATATAGTAATTTTGGAATTTTGTTGGACTTAACTTTCAATAAACACAGGGTAAGATTGTAATTGTTACATAACTACATGAACGTGGCAAATTTTGTTTAATACGGTTTAAAAATATGCACAGCAGCCATTGTCGAAGCCCCATTTTCATACATAGTTTATACTTCATAGTCTATGGACCTTTAGAACAAGCAACAGACTTTCTTTCTCTAAAAGTATAATGCAATATTTTATACACCGCAAAAAGGTACGGACTGCAAGCTCAAAACGCTGCATTTGGTTGCCCCTAAAAGCAACTTACTCAACTAAACTTACTCAACTAAAAATAAGGACATTGCCAACTCTACCAGTCAGATCTTGCAAAATATATTTACCTGTGTGAGAGCTAGCTTGGTTTTGTAGAAGCAGACAGGTGCACAACGATGTGTGTTAAGAATACAAGAGGATATAATGGATTTTTGCACCTTCTCTGCAGAAATTCCACCCCGACAACGTGCAAATAGCACACGAAGCATGACGGTCTGCCTGCAACACTGTGGTCTATCTTGAAAAAGACTGGGAATGAGATAGTATTCCACAGGGAATCCAATCAAATAAAGTAATTCAAAAAAATCATATTTATTTACTCTTTTCTATCACCAGAATAGAAAGAGTAAGATCATAGGTGCACTAAACGTGAAACTATTCTTATTTCTTATTAAATTTCGGTAAATATCAAACATTCCCATTTTGGCGGGACACGACTCGACCCAGATTGCCTCTGTTACAGGAAGCCCGCATTTTGTATGACAATATGACTGAAATGCCTGAATATATTTTAGCTCTTGGTTCAGAGTCTGTTTACGCCCAGAAAATGGTCTGATTTCTCGTTCGTATAMCCTGTTCTTCTCTCTTTACTACTGGAAAGTGATATCCTTCGTMTATATAAACAACATGAAGGGTTTAGTGTGTTTTGGAGTGGCAATCGGAGTGGTTTTTGCAGCCACAATGTGCAACGCGCGGCCGGCGAAGACCATCAATGACACATCAAATTCGTCTGATCATTCTGCACATCCAAAGGTTGAATTTGAAGTTGCTACGGTGGATTTTAAGCGCATTGAATGGCCATTCATGATAATGGTATGGATTCTTGTGGCAAGTTTTGCCAAGCTCGGTAAGGGATTTGTTTAGTTTTCTAAAATGATCAGCAGGTCAAATCGACACATGAAAGCTTACATTGTTTATATCATAATTTTGCATCTTAAGCAGTCGTTTCTTCGTCTTGTAGTATTTCATTCTCGTAGATACCTCGTGCTGACAATAATTGTAAAGTTGTTACACACTGATCCATTTTCATCTGATGAAATGATGTGGGAAAATTTCAAAAAGTTGACACCTTCAAAACCTTTACTCCAACAAATTGTTGATGTGAAAACAAGATTACAGTTTACATCATCCGTCTTCTTATTTTTTCAGGTTTTCATTTATCGGCTAAACTATCTTCAATTTTTCCTGAATCAAGGTTAGTTTTGCTTAATTTTCGTTCTTGTGAAAATGTGCACATGATCTTAATAAAGCAAATATTAATTAAGAGGTGTGATGTTGTTGAAGCCATTGTTGTTATGTTTTAGTCAAAGTGATCATGTGCAGTCATGAGTCTGTTAAGAATACGAAATGACGGAAATGCAATTATGTATACAATTATTGATGTATTTTGGGTATATAAACGATTTATATTGCCTTCATTTTAAAATTTGATTGTGAAAAGAGCAGGAATATTATAGATAGTTCCCACATGCATCACCTTGTTTTTATATTATGATTAATTCAAAATACGTACTTAAAGAGTTACTCATTTGTACCTAGCCAAGGGCTAGCAATAAATTTTYGCTGTTTGACTTGTGCACACAAAAAACTACTTAACGTAGGTTGCACTTGGAGTACAAAGCTACACAAACTTCCATTCAAAGATACAAAAATATATATTTTGTAAATGAAAAATATACATTTGGTGTTATGTATATTAAGCTTTACTAATCGGATGCATGTATGCTTTTTGATATGCAATAATTATATAATAATTATTAGATACAGCTGTCTCTTAATAATTATTATAAATGTTCTTTTGAAGAGAAGGGAATAGCCATGACAGCTATACTATACAATTTTAAATTTTATCATACAAAATGCATCCAAATGAAAAAATGTCTCGTGTTTGCTTGTTGAAGTTATCTGATTTTTACAGAGATGAATTAATAATTGAGTATTTTGACTGAATTCATAAAATGTAGATCTCCCCAAACCTCCTTTGATAGATCAAGTCTTGTAAATTGAATTTAAAATCTATTGTTAATATTCTTGTATTCTATGAGGCTCTTTGTAGTGTGCGGTGTAGCTTGGCTATTGTTSTAGTCATAACTTACATTGATGAATTGAATTTTGATGGCAATTTCCATATKTACTTGTTTACTAGACCTTCACTTAAAAATTGCAAATTGCAATCAAAAAAATACAATGTTTAATTCACCAATATGAGTCTGAAAATGTTAAGTTATATTTTTTTTTTAAATGACATGAAAACTTATCATGAGAACTATAAATTTGTGCTCTCCCTACATCCCAAGTGTTTTGATCAGAGTATCAAACACGGAATTTCGTCTTTTATTTCTTTTTTCCTTTTCTAAAATTAAAAGAAAAAAAGAAATTTTTGACGCGCGCGAGCGTGTTTTGATACTGTAATCAAACATGGTTTTCGACCAATCACAGCGCGCATAGTATCCTAAATATTTTAGAAAGTAGTATTGTTATTTAATAATTTTGAATAAAAATATACTAAAGTCCAAAGATATGTCTTTGAAACCATGGCAACCTACACAAATGCGCTACATTTACATTAATGTTTACATGTTTTAACAATTAATTCGATTGATTGAATTTAACACTTCATTTTTAGTTTGGTAATTTGCCTTGGAATTCTCATTGGTATAATATTACGGTAAGAACTGTAGATATGTCTGACTCATGGGATGCAGTGATAAGTTTCAATATTGCTACAGTACAAAACTGTATATAATTCAGGTTCAGTATTTCCTCATTGTGAGGAGGAGTATTCCAAAGTTTGTTTTTAGCCAACATACGTGTACCTTGTTATGTACAATTCAGAATATATTTTTTTTAAAGCGCTCAGTGGAAACCGTTTATTGACAACAATTAAGTTTGAAAATTTAATAATGATCTACGATATGATTACATACACTGCTTACCCTTCACTTTTCACTAAGAAAATTATGAGTGAATTTTATTTTGCCTCAAACTAAATGATTCTGCTAGTCTATTTTTGATAGAAATAATTGCTTGAAATAATGCTAATTAAATGATATTAAATATGCACATTATTTACCATTCTTATATTTTCCAGGTTTTCTGAATACAATGTAGATCTTTTAACCTCTAGAACATTCTTCCTGTATATGCTACCACCGTAAGTACTTTTGGAATGATATCTAGTAAGCTTATAAACATAACAAGTTGTTAAGGGCTTATAATATTGACTTCAGTTGCCATTGGTCTTGAAAAAGATTGATTATGAAGACATGGGATAAATACATTCAGTCTAGGTGTACAGTGTATAACCTTATTTTCTTAATTTTGTAGTATTGTGTTAGAGGCTGGCTACTTTCTTCAAGACAAAGCATTCTTTGATAATATTGGGACAATACTGCTGTATGCTGTTGTGGTAAGTAAGAGTCTGAAATTCAAAGTACTTTGTTCCTACCTGCTGCCCTGTCGTAAAGGCACATTTGTAGCTGTTCCTTTGTATCAAAGTGAGTTTTAAGCTTTTGACAACTTCTTTTTTTATTTTATATCTGAATGTAGTATTCATAGCAGTCTCCACAGCCACCATATCACTTAGATTCAAAAGCATGGCTACAGAGAAACTGTTATGAACATTGCATTATAATTATAGTGTAATAAAAGGCAGCCCATAGCCTCCTACATGTATATGTATTATTTCTTGATGGCTTTTAGGAGAGTAACAATATTTCTATTGAACATCAAAAAATGGTATTAACTGCAAGCTTCGTTTTGAATCTTCAGGGAACCTTGTTTAATGCCTTTACTGTGGGTAAGTCATAACCTAAAGTGCTGTAAGTTGAACTTGTTTTATTAATGGCATCAATAACAGTTACTACTGGAATTTCTTTAGGGTTTTCTCTGTATGGTGTGAGTAGTATGACGGTGGGTTTACCMATGATGCATTGTCTTGTGTTTGGTGCCCTTATCGCTGCTGTTGAYCCAGTTGCAGTGAGTATGATAGCTATACTACATGTATTTTATATAAAACTTTATACCTGACTTACACTATATTCTTTGTGTCAGGTTTTGGCTGTATTTGAAGAGGTTAAAGTCAATGTGATGTTATACATCTTAGTGTTTGGAGAATCTCTTTTAAATGGTAAGAAAATGATACTAGTTATTATTGTAGCAAGACAAATGAAGAGAGTTGTTGTAACAGAAAACCTTATTAAAAGTACTGTAAGTAAATAAAACTGAGCTTCATTTGATATATTGTTGGTTTAGATGCTGTTACTGTGGTTCTTTATCATATGTTTGAAAAGATGGCATTGGTTGAACAAGTAACCTACAAAGAGGTACATRATATTATGAGCCTTATGTACGTAATTTTATCAAAATCATTAGTTTTACATGTTGTACTACTTTTACTAAAACTGGTAAACTCAAAATTCATGATTAAATAATGCTAAAAGCATAGCCAATATTTGGTATGTACTGTTAATGGCATTATAGATCCTGCAGTTTTGCTCTGCTCTGATTTGAATTTCAATCTGTGATTTTTGATTCTTCATTTGTAGACTAGGTAAACTTGTTTAGGCTTCGAATGTTGTTCTCACATATCCTCCATATCTTCTTTAAGATTTATTTTCTTGTAATTTCTGTTTTTACTCTTCTATTATTTATGTGAAAATAAATATTGTATTTTAATTTACCAATTGAACCATTTGTTCACAGGTATTTCTTGGTATTTCTAACTTCTTAGTTGTCAGTATTGGTGGTACATCTATGGGTCTGGTGTGGGGCTTGGCAACAGGACTTGTGACTAAATACACTGACCATGTCAGAGGTACATATATAGTTAGTTAAACAGCATTTAATGTACTGCTAATTGAATCTTCATGCAATGAAATCTTTTTGTGTGGTCTCTTACAAAAGAGGAAAAACAATGGAGTCGGGATGACTCTGAAACGTCGGATTCTTGCGTTAATTCTTATTCTAAATACTTTCTCTAAATCGTTATTACATTATGTAGTTAAAAACAATTAAACATTGAAAAATTTAGTCCCAAAGATGGTTACAGTAGCTTAGGTTTAAGTAGTCCCTAACAAAAGAAATTTGAGAAAAGCTTGTGTGGGAAAGTGAACCTGTAACTCCTAAAGTCTGGTAGTTTGCATGCCTGGGTTTTTCCTTGCATTGTGTAGTGTAATTAAATTATTATTGTTATAGTTTTTTGTTAGATGTTGTGTGTAAGATTGTGGATAATAATATTTGTTGTATTTTTTTTTAGTAATTGAGCCAATATTTGTGCTGATCATGAGTTATYTGTCCTACCTTTCT